AGGAAATGACAAATGCCACTTTTATAAGATCATGGCTGACATCAGACTTATATGGTAATTTTGTATAACATGTCTTGTTATATTGTATGCCCAAGTTCAGGTTTTTAAGGAAACTCATCATTTAATTATGATATCTGCACTACTTTTACAGAGCCATACAGTAAAATTAGGAACTGATGCAAAAATTATGGTTTTCAGAATTCTGAAAGTTTGCCTTCAAACTACACTGTATATGTTTCCTTTTCCTAAATACTCCATGTACCGATTTCCTTTCCAGATTGGAGTAAAACAGCCACTAATAACACAAAGAAGGTCAGCTCAGATAATCTAGGGAAATCCCTTTCCTCGAGTTCTATAGGCTCAAATTCCACATACTGGACATCCAAGTCAAAATCAAGCTCGAATCATTACTTTAAAAGAAACAGTAGCACAGGTGAGTTACCTAATTTTTATATGTGTGTACATCTATATTTAAAATACAGAAGACAATACATGAAAATTAAAATAATATTAAGTTAAATATGTTAAAACATGTTTATCAATAATAGTCAGTTACATAAACATATTAGATAAAAATGGTTTAACAAGAAAATTATATTGATCAACATGCACATTTAGGAGGTCTTCCAACTGCTAGAGTCACAGTCATTGTTGGAAATGATTTACAGAAGGCTCCCTGGATTGGTCAACACAAAGGCAATTGTAGATTTGAGGTAGCAGTCGCCTGATCTGCTGTTTTTGAACTTTGTTTTGTGTGTAGGTATTGCTAGATATCACTAGCTGGCCACTATTGGGGGGACCTACCAATCAGACAGGTTAGAAAAGCTGTCATAATTACTGTTTATTCCCCACTGATATACTAGAGTTGGCAGCCTCCAAACTACTTCCTCATGTGCTTCCCTCTTCCCCTCTCCATTTAGATTAACTTATCAGTTTAGTAGACTCTTTTCTTTTACTTGCATGTAGAAATAACTAACAGTTTAATCTACTGTGAGCACAAACAGTTTCCTATTGTGTGATTAGCTAACAAGAAACCAAACTCTCATGCAAATGATCTCATTGTTTAGTTAACACTTGGTAAAAGGTTCTGTGCATACTATCTGTATAACAAATCCTTACTTAATGTTGAATTTTAACATACAGTATGTAACATTATAAACAACAATTGTTTGTTTCTTGAAGATAAAGCTATATTAGGTAATGTTCTGGAAAATCCTTCCAAATTATTTAAGGTCTTCATGTAGCAACATGGTAGAGTCGTTATTATACCTTTACTTCAGTGAACAAAATCTGGCCGTTAAATGCAAGATAAGCACTGTGAAGGAGTGCAAGTATATTTTGTGCAGATAATGAGCTATATCAGATATGCCTGTCATTGCAACACCTTATAGTAGCAGCAGCAACTCTACCATGTTAAATAACAGAAGGGCCAAATGATCTGGAGGCAAGCTATCTTTTCATGGACATTCCCTTTAACAAGTGAAAGATATGAAAAGACACTGAACCAGTACAGGTTGGTAGCTTCCCGGTTGTGGTAACGTTGGCATGATCCCGTCCCAAATCCACAGTGCATTGATCGGTGCCTGAGCTGCCTCTTACTAGGCCTAAACATTGTTGTGTTAGAGGTGGGGTGCCTGTGTGTATGCAATAAATATTTTCACAAAAGCTGCATTTACACATGCAATTTGTAGCATTTTGTGGGCTCGTTTGGGAGATACACAGTTATGGTGCCATGAAATACTGCAGTACCTGCTTTTATGTACAAATGGCTCACCACCCTGTGAGTAGAGTGGACTTTCCATTTTCATGGATAGTCCACTTTAAGTTTGATCAGTGAATCTCAACAATATATAACTTACAATAGATATCATAAGGAAAGAAAATGCAAAATAATCTAAACCTTTATCCTGTTTAATTGTTGTACACCTTGTGGTTTACACTAACGTTTATGTCACTTACACAACTGACCAAACATTCCATGTTTATGGCATAGATAATGGCTTCTAAGAGCATCCCTTAAATCGAAGTGGAATCATCCAGGTAAATGTTCCTGTAAGGTTGGTTGGATGCATGACCTTTCAGCAAATGGGCTTGGTATTTCTGCATGAGGTCATACAACGGAACAAACCATTTTCTAATCAATATCTGTCATCATTCTGCTATTTCATCTTACGACAGTGGTGCTTGTTTCTTTATTTCTGGGATTCCATAATGGCTTTTTTTCCCTCTTTCTTTACCGCTTGTATCACTTGGGAATTATACAAGGTGGCAAATTGCTGGTCTTCATTAAGAGCTTTTTGGATTATATATAAATATTATAACTTACGCTACATGCACGATGTATTATTTATTAAACATGTTCCATTGGCAGTTGAGGAGTTCTGTGTTAATGAGCATAACCAATGAGCGTAATAGGCTGGAAAGGTTATGACCTTTGCTTAATATCATGCTGCAAAGGGTAATAAACTGTGCCAGTACATTGATAGTTTTTTTTTAGCAATGCAGTGCACACAAGGCCTGAATTTTGATTGTTTTTTTCATGTTATTTCTCATAGATTTGTATATGCAATCTTAGAAATCTTATATTTTTGTTGTTCTGGCATCATATATGTGTGTGAACTTCACATAGCTGATGTAAATTGATCAGGTTTATTTAGATTTATCAATAGTACAATAATAAAGTAAGTCTATAGTAACTAAATCTGATGTTTAATTCATCTATGACTAAATGTACATTTTAATCTTTAGTACATATATTATAGAATAAACTGGCACTTAGTTGTTTATTATGTATACAGTTTCATAATGCCGGTTCTCTATATTTATATTTACACCATATTAACATAAAAAAGGATTTCCACAAGATGTTATTGACAATAACTATACTATGGACACTTTTACATTACTTATTAGGAAATCTTTCTCTGCCACTCTTTGCTTTTCTCTTCATACAGCAGCATGTTAACCTGGCATGACATGTTAACCTGGTCCAATAATTCACAATACGACATATTCTCTGCTTTGATTGCTAATGAAATGATCATGTGCTTTGGAGTATTTATATTTGATTTTCATCATACTGCCTGCTCTCTCTTTGTATTATTATTGTGTATATACTTCATTGTTCTTCCTATTATGTGTATGTCAACGAAAAGCACAGCTTTAGAATGTGTTATTTATTTAAATGTGCGGCATATACTGAGGCTGATTTACTAAGATGAAATGCACAAGAGCAGAGAGAAATTGCTGTGAACATAATTAGCACATTTCTCTTGTGGGTTCAGATAATTGCTTGGACCTTTTCTCACCCAACAAACGTGATCCCTTTATTGATCTTCTAAATCATGCTTCCTCATTCTATGCCCTAAAATAAAAAAATTTGGTGACAAGCACCAAAACTGCTTACAAGAGGGCTCATTCACATTCAAAGAGCCATTTCTATTCTGGTGTGTAATGCACATTATTTTGTGCTTTAACATATGTCGCTTTAAGGCAGAACATTCATTTGATTACACTGCCACTACAGAAGAATAAAGAAAAAAAGGATGTTAACCATGTTTAAAATTGCAGTTCACCACAAGACTCAGTATTGAATTAAAGTAGTATTAAGGTCCGGTGCGTTTTTTATCTGAATGCATTTTCTGCATTAAGGTAAAAAATGCCCAGTACATTTTGGACTCTCCCATCCACCCCACACTTATCTATCAATGCCACATGTCGCCACCACTGGTCCTCACAGCAATCCTCCGTCCTGAACTTCCTGGTTGCGGTTGAGGAGATTGAGGGCAGAGGAGTCATAGGGGGTGATTTACTAACCTAAACACACGCACGCACTAGGTGCGTGTGATTTTTACACAGCAAAACGTATTTATCAACCAAAAAGTCTCTAAAAGCATATTTCCACTAATGCAATATATGGAAAAATCATGCACATGATGCATATATAATGCTGCTTCACAGTTTAGACAAAAATAGTTAGCTCATGCATTTACATTCCTGCATTCATCAACGCAAGCAACACAACATAGAGCTAATTTACACAAGATCACCTTGCAAATTCATGCTTGGCTTTGCACAACACACCTGCTGGGTGTGTACACACTACAAAGGTGTTTAGATTCCACCCATAGATCATGCTGGGAGGGAACACACTACAGAGGTGTATACATGTTCGTGGTGTGTTTATAAGGTTAGTAAATCAACCGCATAGACTCTTTCTACCATCAATCAACCTGTTGGGCGGAGAGGAGGGGCACGGCCTGCTGCAGGGCTGTGTGTGTCTATGGACGCGCACAGCCACTCCCGGAACACGCACGCACAGGTGCCTCTACAGCAGCCGCTTTTTGAAAATGAATGGTACTGCAACACGCTAACACATAGGTTACACTTTAGTTGGCAATCACATTTACTCATAATACCAAAAAGAGAAATTGTATAGAAAGTGTGCTACTAAGCATCAATCTGGTATCAACTGAAATTAATTACCATTTTTAGGGGTTCTAACGAGGCAGTTAGATTCAAAAGAATGTAAGAAAACAGTAAAAAGGATAGAAAGCCAATAAACACTTTTTTTTTTGTAATTTTCAGGTCCTGCCTTTATCACTTTTATTTTGGAAACATGAGGTGGTTAGGCACAACCACATGAAAGTCTTTATGAACTAAACGTCATATTTAATCACTTACAAACTATGAATGTAAGAAATATGTCCTAAAAATCTTCAACAAAGTCTTTAGGACACATCTCTTATGTACAGCTCCTCTCGACCTGCCACTGTCAAAATGACAGCCTGTAATTACTTTATATAATACAGCAAGAGCAGACTCTTCAGTGTAAGATGACACTTGCAGATAGTCCGCAAGTGTCATTGAGTAAAGACGATACATTAATGTATTGTTTTGTTGTATTTATTTATTTCATTCACATGAAAGGTGTGACCATTGATCTGCACATTAAATCAGTTGAGGGTACCTTACAAGTTAAATGTAACCCTAATCAATCCTAATTAGCTTCTTCCTCCTATTTTCTCTTCATCTATTATTTTTCTTCTGATTTTATTTAAAACATTTTTAATTTTTTTTTTAGTTAGTTTAAAAAATAGTGTTACTGTTGATAAAAAAGTATAACTTTTATTCCAAAATGTGTCCGTTTAAGAAAACATTAAAATTCATATTCGTGTAGAAAGCATTGCAAAGTTATTTACAAATGAAATGCAAGCTTTTATTTTTAAATGTGTGCTTTTTTTTTGCAACACTAAAAAGAAGCAGCAGGAAAATAATATCAAAGGGGAGAAGGAGACAAAGATAATATGGGCTTGTTAGAGTAAACTAAGGGTTAATAAGGGGTGAAATAGAAACAATAATCAAAACTGGTTAATTATAGCACTTGAGCAATCTCAGCACTTTCAATTCTTTATTTACTATGTTCAGGAATAAAATATATATTTTTTTTATACAGAGTTATATTAAGATTCAGTTTTAGAGCGTGTTTAAAAGGAACCAGCTTCTGCTATCCCCCTTCTTAAATCAATGCTCTATGACACCAGTGTTATGACTGCACCCCATACATTTGTAAAATACATATTTAATTTAAATAGTTTAAAAAATATATATAAACCATCAATTTAAAAAAATGGATACGAATTTAAATAAAATAAACACTAAAGCATTATAGTGTTCTTTTCTAAACAGTTCATGTAGTTTTAAATGAAATGTTTGTTGCACAGTACATATTTAGTGTTGTACATATTAACAAGTTAGATAAACAAAGAAACAAGTATTCTTTGCCGTTGTTTTTTATAAAGCTAAATGTTATCATAAAATTTCACTTCATAAGTTCATATTCACTTAATTTTAAATCATACATTTTACCTTACAGAATATATAATTACAACAACAATATTTCAATTAGATATGGGTGCCCAGATAAAACAAAAACAAGGGGTGCCTTCCCTAGTGTAGATACATTTTTATTATACAAATGGCAAAAAGTGGAATGATACTCACAAAAGAGTAGATAACATTGAGCCTTCAAATCAAAGGTTGCAGCATGTGAGAGCTGCACAAATGGTGGTTAACCCAGGCATACTGTCCTATTACATAGGAACCACCATTTGTGCAGCTCTCACGTGCTGTATCTTGCTTTTTACTAAGACTGAGGATCAACCTTTGATGTGAAGGCTCAATGTTATCTACTCTTTTGTGAGTATCATTCCACTTTTTGCCATTTTATAATAAAAATGTATCTACACTAGGGAAGGTGTCCCTTGTTTTTGTTTTTTTTATCAGATATTACAGTCTCCCTGACTGATGTGGGGCAGCGACCTGTAGAACTTCTGCATATATATTTCTTTAGTGGAGTGGTCATCTCTGGCACTATTGGTTCTTATTTTCATGGGTGCCCAGATACCCTGATAAAAAGCTTTGCATTACAGTTACAGTGAAGATACTTATTTACATTTTCCTTTTTCAGGTTACATATTTGGGGATAGATCCTCAATCAAGTTTACACCCGTGGATGGTGAACAGACGTCAATTCTTCCAGTTCATCATGTTATCGACAAAGTGAAGGGCTATTGCCACCCCCACTCTGATAACTTCTATAAGAACATCATTATGTCGGATTCCTTCAGCAACAGCACAAAATTCTAAGAGTCAAGGAGAGCAGACTTATGTGGGGATCATGCTTCATAGCAATTTTAAATTCAAAAGGGAATGTAAATAATGACATCTGTGGGTTTGCTTTCCAAAGACGATCTTTCAGCAGATAGAAGTCAGAGGCCTTGTTTTCAGCAATCTGCTAAGCTGTGCACTTTTCTGATTCATGTGTCCCCTTAGTAGCATAAAGAATAGTTTAGGATGACAAACTGTCAATATCCTCGAAGCTAAGTCCAGAGAGAAGGTATCTAATAAAAAGTCACTTTTACACTTATCTTATTTTGATAAACACCCTATATTTTAAATATTTAATTTACTGATCTGTTAAGTATAACTACCTATTGAGATTACATGTTTCAACCAACCAACTGGTATTTAATTTGCCATTTTATTTATGTTTTCATTTTGAATAATTTGATGCCAAATTGCAGTATGCAGGATTTCAGGGGACAAAATATATTCATGTATAAAAAATGCGGAATTGCATCCGTATGCAAGTGAATCTTTTTCAGGAAATGCAAAGAATCCACAGTCTTTGCAATATTCAGTTTTACTACATGAGAATTACAGCACACCATGACAGCACTGGACATTTACCATATAAAGTCAATTTTTTATATAAACGTTATTATATTTTCAGAATTAAATAGTCTCCTTGCAAAAATATCTACAATCAAAATAGAATGAAGAAGCATGATTCATGACTGTTGCAAGCCAAGTTTTTTTTTAACACTAATTAATGTGTAAGAATTTTCTTTGTGAGATACATTATTATTTAAGAAATGCCTTACATAGGGTTGAACTTCCTTAATACATAGATCATACATTCTCCATGGGTAAAGACTTGTCCCAAGCTTTTTTAATGTATTTTGATCTAATTTATTTATGTGTTTGTTGTTTTAATATAACTGTGAAAAGCTATGTAAATTAACAGCTATAAAATTGAATTTGTAATGCACTTTGATAGGCACGTATTGCAAAAGAAAATATTTACAGTTTGCTTATCCTGATTCATGCTTTTTTTTATATTATTACTTTTGATATAGTATATTTGGTAGTTTGATTAAGATGCACCCAAGCTGGACACCTTTCTGTAACATAATATATGCAGTATTCTGTTTTATATATTCTGTTTAATTCTCATTAATTTACTATGTCTGCCATGTCCTTAGCAAAAGGGAAACTGTTCTTAAACCAGCTTTTAATTGTTAAAAAATAATTTTAAATGATTACTGCAAACAAATCTATCACTCTGTAATTTAACTATTTCTATCAAATCATTAGTTGAAACAAAAATAATCATAGAGTTCCAACATATGGAAACAAAAATGTTTACTGCTTTTTGTTTACCTCTGCAGTCAGTGTACAGGGCACAGCTAAGAAATTCATAAAGTTAGGAATGCAGGGGCTGGTGTGGGTCAGGGTTTACTTTTTAAAGGACAACTGTCATGAAAAGCATTTCATTTCCTCACTGCTTTCCTATGATCTAAGGTTACCCATAATTGTGAAGTCTACCCACAACCCTAAGACACCACAATTACCCAGTGGGCACACAGACTTGATAGCTTGGCTCTGCTGAATGTGTTTTTTTAATGGAGAGATAGGGCGGTAAAAGATAAGCAGTGCTGCCATATGTTGCCTGATTTTCTAACTTGCCTGATGATTTGTTTCCTTTGATGTTGGTCTGGTGCAGGAACCATAGACAAGAGATTTTGCATAATCTGGCCAGCTGCTGTTACTTTGACCTCATGTCTATTGGTTTCTTAAAGAGACACTGTCAAGTTACCCATTCAGAGTAAAGTGACAGTATCTATGTAATGTTGACACTGTCAATTTGCCTTGAATGGGCAAGGTGAATGTCCCTTTAAAAGGCCACTTTTGCGAAAAACATTGTATTCTAATTACCGTATTTGATTAATAACTGTAATGATGGTATTCAGTATAACAATTTCTGTTTAATTTTTCATGGAGACCAAGTTGCCTAAAAAAAACATCAGTGACAGTGGCTGGGACAAACTGTAACACTGCCAGGGGTAATCAAGCAGTTGCAGTTACAGAAAAAAAATATTTAACCCATGTGAAAAAGGTGACCATAAAAAGCACCCACATAAGTGATATAGTCTGTTCCAACCCATCAGTGTCACTTTGCTGGACAACTTGTTCAGCATGACATAAAAGTGTGTTAGTTTAAAAAGAAAAAAAAGGGAATTAAAATATTGACTACTATCATTACAAGTATTTACCACGTACAGCTATCAGACTTTATTATTATTATTATCGCAATAGTGGCTTTTTAAAGCCCAACTTGTACCATTTTTTTAACCACTTTTTGTCCTGAGCAATTTCTTAATATTTGCACGCACATGATAAAATCTGAATTTTTGGCTACAAAACAGCTTAAACCCACAAACAATTATATATTTTCTGAAAGCAGAGGCCCTGTAGAATAAAAAAAATACTAGTTGCAATTTTTTATGTCACACGGTATTTGCGCAAATGTTTATCAAACCAGTATTTTTAGGATAAAATACACTAAAATTGAATTTAGTGCATAGAAACAAAATATAATACCCACTTTTTTGGTAAAATATAAAAGACGCGGTCACGTCGGGTAAATGTCAAGCCCTAAAATTGCGTGCGCCCGTGAAACCGCAAAAAAAAACTACAATACCCCACATTTCCAATAGGCAACGCTGTAAAAGCTTTTACTGCTCATCAGTTTAGCGTTAACAGTGATCAATGGCCCTAGAATTATTGCTCTCACTCTAACATTCGTGGTGATATGTAACATGTGTGGAACAATTTTCGATTTTGCACGTAGGAGCACCCGACACATGTTTGTGTTTGTATGTGCGTGTATGTGGGGGCGGGGGACTTTAAAACATTTTTTTTGCATTTTTTTTCTTATATGTTACTTACATTTTTTAATTGTTATTTTTATTTACACCTGACTTTATTGTTATGACAGGGGGATAGCAAGCCCCTATGTAATAGCAAATATGATGTGACAGGTCTTTATGGAGACATCAGGGGTCTTTCAGTCCCCTAATGTCACCTAAGGACCGCAAATAAGCTGATGAAGCAGAGATCTGTGTGTAATACACATCACGTCCCGGGTCCAGTGATCAGAGGAGGGATCAGCGGCTAGAAGCTTGCTGACCTCCCTCCAATCGATGTGAGGAGACCCGCCGTAGCGGTCATGGGCCCACACAGAGGACAGCGATGCCCGGGGTACCTGAACAGCCATTGTCTGCTGTTTAAAATGGTACAGCTTGTATCTGAATAGCCTTTGTCGCTCATTAAAATGGTACCAAGAACCGTAGCAGTCCCAGCCATGTTTGAAATTCTGGGGTGAATGGTTAAAACTTCTGCCAGCATTTTATTATTGCTTGTGACTCAACTAGGGTGATTTCAGATTACTTTTTATCCATGTAACACCACTATCACAAATGAGGGGAATGGGGGTCACCAAGACACATATGGCCAGACATCAATAAACCTTAGAAAGTTTCCAATCTGTTTACATTTTATTGGACATTGCTTTGCTGCTGTGAAGAGATGTGCCATATTTTCCTCTCTCTTGGTCCTCCTATCACCAGGACAGGAAGCAGAAATCTCTCCAATGAGAATACGCTTTGCAAAACCAATATCCAGAGCAGGCTCTTAATCCATACTAGAGAAATGTACCCCAAAATACCTGTTCAAAGTCCATCTTTCTCCCAACCTTCACCTGCACAAGCCCTGGTGGAGAGGGATTAGTAAAGATGCTGAGTATTGTTTTTACATGCTGGCGATCGTTTTTTTTTTTTATTCCTGAAAAATAAAAATTACACTGAACTGTCAACCCTATACAAACTTACTACTGTGGGGACCTCCTCTTTGGGCCCATCAGAAATTAGAGAGCAGCCTCCTAACTAAAATATCAACAGCACCAAATTCTAATCCAGCGTTCTACCAGCATATCTTCCTTTAAGCAATAAAAACATGATAGAAATTTCCCTTTTCCACTCTAAAAAAAGTGATACAGGAACTATATTAAGACCTTGTTGAAGATCAGTCACCTTTTACTATGTCAATGCAACATTTGTCATGACAGTTGCCTGCCATATATTCCTCCCATTGCAAATAAAAATTCAGTATACTATATTAACTGATATCAGGCAGGCAGTGATGCCTAAAGTGAAAGTCCCGCTAGCCCCAAAAACAACATGTAGACATAAACGGAATGGGTTTTTTCATACAACAGTTTGTCATTTTGTCAATAATAACTAAGGAACATAACTTTAAAAACATGAGAATTAGACCATCCATTAAGTTTGTCTTTATGAGTCACTTGCTCCTGGGAGTGCCACCGCTGAAGCTTCACTACTGTACCAAACCTATGTAATTCATTTTTATTCTATGTAGTATATTGTATGTATGTTTTTAAGTATATTTAATTTAGCAATATTGTACCAAGTAAATTTAAGGAAAAAATAGAGCAATTGATCTTAATGTGAAATGTCTCACTGCTGTGCGATAATTTCAGAGATTAATAATTATGTGACATGTACCAGGTATCTCATCTTTAGCTTTTTATAGATATAGAATTGCTTCAAGGTCAGCTACATCTAGACATATTGTGTGAGTGTAAGGAAACACACAAAATTATAAACGTTACTTATGTTACTCATTGCAACAGTCAATGTCCTGTAGCCAACATGTCTGTCTTGAGTTATAATAAAGTCTCTGCTGAGTATGGGACAGCTTTCCCATTAACATGAAATGGGAAATCTTCTGATACACAGTTTTCAATCTGCAGGTTAAACCGATAATTGTTTGATCCAATGCTAGTGAGACTACATATCATGGACAAAGAGGAACAGTGGTAATATTTACTTTTGTGTCTACTAACCTTTTCCAGTCAAAACACTCTTGTGATTTCGCCTTTGATTCTAAAAAGGGAAAGAAAGATGAAAACATTGTCATATAGAGAAGAGGTCAGCATGCTTGTACATAGTGCTACATTTTATTGTGTTTGTATGTTTGTTTTTCTTTTTTTACTACCATGTAGTAGAATTTTTAATCTATCAAGGTCTATATTTC